TAGCGGTAATTAAGAAACTGCCAAGTGTTGATTGTGGAATGTAGAGAACCTTGACCCATCATGTGTTGCAGATGAGAATGTAAAAACATGCAACCACTTTATAAAATAGTGGGTTAATGTTTTCAATAGGGAAACAAAACTTACTATAAAGCCCAACAGTTGCACTACCAGGAATCTTCCCCTAGAGAAATTAAGACATACTGGTACACAAAAGCTCATATGTGAAAGCTGATGCCATCATTCTTCATAATGGCCACAAACAGAAAACAATCTAAACTGTCCACTAAATGATGGCTAGGTGAGCAAAACATGCTATATTCATACACTGGAATGTTATTTTTAAATTAATATAAATGAAGTTCTAGTACGTGCTGTATGTGAACAAATCTCAAAAATATACTAAGTGAAAAATGCTGAAACAAAAAGCTACGCATTGTGTGATTGCATTTATATGATTCTGGAAAATGCAGATTTGTAGACACAACGGAACTATGATTGTCCAGATCTACAATCCGATTAACTACAATTGGTTTTAAGGAGACTTTGGGAGCAGAATAATGGAAGTGTTAAAACTGGACTGTGGTAATCGGTATACTCAAGTGCAGTTATATTAGGGAAGTTTTATGGAATGTGAATTTACCCCATGAGGCTATTAATTTTATTTACATAGTGTGCTTTTTTCTGTCTGAGACACAGGAACTGTAGTCAAAAGGTGGTCTGAACAATCCTTGAGTTCCCCAGGAAGGTGCCCCCACCAGGAGGAAATAGATGAAACTATCTGACCTTGGACTTTTACCCCCCAAATTGAGCGAAATAAGCCCTTTTTCTTTTTTTAACAAATTACCAAGTTTCCAGTATTTCATGATAGCAACAGAAAACAATGATACAGAAATCATCATATATGGGCCATGCCATCCTGACTCATAGTAGAACACTGATCTCCATTTTCACTTAAAAATGTCCTCAGTGAAGCATTGTAAAGTAAATTTCATTACATCTTGTGCTTGGAGGCATATCTTTTTGGCAGCCTTGAAATGCAGTAAGAGATGTACATAAAGCATTTCCTTTGCCTTCCCAAGGACGGTGTTTTCTCGAAGAAAAGCACTTTCGCAGTTGGTGGAGTCGTTAGCTGAATGAGTAGTTCTTTCTTTAATGGGTTAGCATAGCTCTTTTAAAACAAAGATTCTGGATGCTCAAGCCTGGGAATTTGGTGCATTATTTCCTCAAAAATGAATGAAGATGTTTCAAGGAAAATAATTGACAGCAGTTTTTGGTGGGGTTTTTTTTGTTGTTGTTGTTTTTGTTTGTTTGTTTGTTTGTTTTTTGTTTTTGCTAGTGATAAAATTCAAGCCTTAACCAAAACCTGTCATGTTGGAAAGGTTTGCATCTGCCATTATGAACTTGACAACAGTCAAGCGATTCCTGGTGGTATAGGTGGAGATTTTAACAGCTGAATTCTTTTTTTTTTTTTTTTTTTTTTTTTTTTTTTTGGGAACAAAA